CTAGAATGTTCCCCTAGAGATGTCATATTGCAACTCTGGGTATAGCCTGGCTTCCCAATAAATTAGGAAATCTTTGCATCTCCAGAACTGTACCACTCACCCTCTCTAAAAGACTGAATAACAAAACCCACAGGATCATCTCATTAGATAGAGAAAGAGCCTTTAATAAAATCTAACATGCCTTCATGATAAAATTCCTGGAAATACTAGGCATATAGAGACATAACTAAAAAAAGGCAATTTATAGCAATCCCATTGCCATCAACAATCAAAATGTATAGAATCTGAAGTCCTTCTACTGAAATCAAGAGCAAAACTTTATTGCCCACTCTTTCCATACATATTCTATAAAATACTTGAAGTCTAAGCCAGAGCAATAAGACAACTGAAAGGGGTTAATCAAAGTATCTTTTTTTAGCACAGGATCTGGCTTTATACATAAAGACCCCTAAAAGCTCCAGCAAAATGTTCTACGACTGATAAACACTTTCAGCAAAATACCAGGGCACAAAATTAACACACACACACATACACATACACACACACACATGAACACATCAAAGCATTCATATTTACAAATTATAAACAAAAGAAATGAAATCAGAAGCAGTATATTTTACAAAATCCTATGAAACAATAAAATACCTTAAGGTAAATTCCAACCAAAAAGTGAAATACTTGTATAGTAAAACATTACAACACTGAGCAAAGAAATTAAGAATATCCTTAGTATACCAATATGACAGCAGACACATTGATCAATAGAATTGAAGATATGTATACAAAGTCACACAACTATAGATATTTTATCAAAAAGACCTAAAATTAAACACTGCAGATAAGACAGCAACTTTGTCAAATGACACTGATCAACTGTCTTATTGCATGTAGAAAAAGAAAAATAGGTCTATATCTATCCCTCTGCTTGAAAAACAACTTTAAATGAACCAAGTATCTCAGCATAAGATGATGTACATTGAATCTGATAGAAGTGAAAGCTGTGAATAAGCTGGAACTCATTAGCACAGGAAAGGGCTAATTGAGCAGAACACTGATAGATTGGACACTAAGACTGTAAATTAATAAATGTGACCTCAAAAAGCTGAAAAGTTTCTGACTGGCAAAGGACACCATCATTAGTGCAAAGAATCAGCTTAAATAATGAAAAAAGATATTTATTATTATATAGTTAGCAGAGCATTAGTATCTAATATATACAATAAACAGCAACAACAACAAAACCCTTGACCATCTAGAAAATAAATAACCCAACTAAAATTTGAGTATAGAACTAAATAGAGTTTTAAAAGATGAACCCCAAAAGCTGAGAAATACTTAAAGAAATGTTCAATATCCTCAAACATCAGGGAAATGTAAATCAAAACCATTTTGAGGTACAATGTTATATTGGATAGAATGGCCAAGATCAATAAAACAAGTGACATAACATGCTGTGAGTTAAGAGGAACACTCCATTATTGCTGGTAGATATACAAAGTTACACAGCCACTATGGATATCACATGGCAGGTCATCAGAATATGAGGAATAAATATACTACAAAGTCCAGCTACACCATGCTTGAGCATATACCCAAAGAAGTCTATATCTTGTTACAAAGACACTTGCTCATACATGTCATTTCTGCCTTATTTATAATAGCTATAATTGAAAATAGCCTAGATATCAAACAAATAATAAATGGATGATGAAAACATTATACATTAACACAATGGGATTTTATTCAGCTGTTAAAACTGAAGTTATGAAATTGATAGGTAAGAAAATGGAGGTAGAGGAAAATCGTGAATTAAGTTTCCCAAGTCAAAAAGAAAAAAAATTTATATTTTTTCTTTTATATGTTCTTGTTAGGTTTTAAGGTTTACTATTTATTCTAAACCAAATCTGAAAAGTCACAGGTTCTAGGTGCCTAGTAAAGGACTGGGGTGTGGATGAGCAGAATCTCATCAAGGAGGGGAAGCAGAATGCAGTTTTATGGAGAGAAAGGAGGGATACTGGAGTAGGAATATTAAATAGGAGGGGAAGGCAGAGCAGAAGAGGAAAGTAGGGAATATATGATGCGACAACTCATTCTGAAGACCATTTGAAAAGCCATATTGAAACCAACTACTATAAGAAGCTTTATAAATTACATATATATTTAAAAATAATATAAATGAAATCACCATGTAGTAGGGGATACAATATCTCAATGAAGCAACATATAATGCCAAATAAAACATCCGTGCCAGTAGTGAATTTCATCTTAATGGGTCCCATGTAATCCTTCAAACAACATAGGTTATTAGCAAGGCTATAGGTTACTATCCATAACATGATGGTAAGGCCTTATTAGTGAAGGCATTTGCTTACATCATGAAACACAGAGAAGTACAGTGGGTGCCACATTGAAGCTTCATCCCTACTGACTAGCATTAATGGTATAGAAGATACTCTGCATGCTACTGAAGGAAAAATCTTCATTGTCAGAAGTGTGTGTGTGTGTGTGTGTGTGTGTTTTATGGGGATGGCCCTTTTCTCTTTGTTTTGTCATATTCTGCTTTGTTTGTTTGTTTTTATCTTATTCATTATATTTCTAAAATCTAAATGCCTCTTTGTTTTCTGATAGAGAAAGAAAGGGTGTGGATATGGGTGATTAGGGAGATGAGAAGGACTGGGAGGAGTTGGGTCAATGGAGACCATAATAATAATATATTTGATGAAAAAATCAGTTTAAAAATATTACAATATATAAATAATGTTAGAAAGTGGCCAAGAACCTGACACCGGAAAAGTTATTTCCTTATGGGAAAATCGACTATTATTCTGCTAAAGGAACACAGTAATAAAAATGACCCCTAAAGACAAATTGCAGTATCCATAGATCAGAGAATTATTTGACCCTCATCAGAGAAGCTTCTTCTTGATTTAGATGGGAATTAAGAAAGGGATCCTCAACTGGGGATGGACAGACTGTGTGAGACTTTGGAGCATTAAGTCCTAATAGAATGTCTACATCAAACTCCTCTACTGAGAGTTTAAGGAGCTACACCAAGGAGGTATAAAGATTCTTAGAGACAGAGATGGTGGATGACTCCAAGGAAGCAGTGTCCTCCAGACACAGCAGGATTGAAGTACATATGAACTCACAAAAACTATGACTGTGTTCCCAGCATCCATATAAGTTTAAGTCAGATAGTGATCCAAGAACTGAGAGGGGGACGTGGACACAGAGTACATTCATAACTAACAAGCTATTTGCAACAGAAAAACATTAACAAAGAAAAAAATCAGTTTTCACCAATGAAGTCTCCTTGTCTATCTCAACCACACTCCAATGAAGACCCCAATCCCAGCAGTAGTTGTCCAACACATAAGAAATTGAATGATACTTTTGTGAACATTGTGCTTCCTTTGACAGAATTCTTTGCTATTGTTTTGTTTTGATGTTGGTATTGGTGGTTATTTTGTCTTTTGTTTCTTTTTTAATGTTTTTCGGTATTTGGATTTTGTGGGGTTTTACTTTATGTAAATACTACATAGTGTATATAGAGTTTGGTTTTGTGGTTCTTATTACATGTGTATTTTTTTAATTTATGCATAGTATACACACACATATATGAGGGAGAAAGAGAGAGAGAAAAAGAAAAGGGAATGTAAAGTTGGATGAGAGAGATGGGGATTTGGGAGACACTGGGGAAGAGAAACATGATTGAAATATGTTGCATGAAAATATTTCAACAAAGAAAAGAGAGGACAGAAGCACAAAATACACAGGTTCAAATAAAGAAAAAGAATAGATTTTTAAAAATTCTCAAATTATATTCTTATTTTCAACTCTGAGGTATTTCATGCAAGCCAAGCACTGAGAGTCTGTCAGTACTAGTGAATCTCAGAGTCTGTGCTCTCTGTTGACACAAACTGAAAAGACAGTTAAGCCTGCTTTGTGCCAAATAAAGATACATCTAAGAAGCATAGAAGTGAGCATAGAGTTGGCTTGCCACTAAGGAAGGTGCTTAAATAATAGGTAAGCTATGTATTTTTTTTCATTTATTTTTTGACATTATAATTTATAATCACACCATATCTCCCTTCTCCTTCCTTCCTCCAAACATTCTTATCTATTCCTTCCTGATCTCTTTTAAATTTAGTACCTCTAACTTCATTAATTCTAGTTATATACATACATGTACACTTACATACATATGTATTTCCAAATTCATAAATAAGGTGCAAATTCAAACTGAAGTGCTCCCCACATCTCAATATCAGTCCTTTAAGTAGCAATACATTTTAATGGGTTTGGAGATCTGGACTTTATAGCAAACTCTGAGAAACAGTCATGCTAGTGAGAATGGAGTGAGGGCAGATATCATTTCTGATCGGGGAGGCCCCAAAATCTGGATGAGCAGGTGTGTGTGATGTAGGGTGGGAGGAGAGGAATAGGATTTTTTGCAGGTTAGGTCTCAGTTTTTGAAAGCACCCATGCAAATAAAGGCTTAAAGACATGGGCCAACTGAGTGGAGTATGTGATCTACAACTCCTTGCTTCAAAAGTTAGCATGCCCCTATAGAGGACCATAACCTGTAAGACCAGGCTGGAGATTAGAGACTTAGATTCCAGCTCAAATCAGGGTCTATGAGGCTATCCTGAGACTCTGGCCACCCTACAGTTCATTTCTACTGGGTGAGGTTTAACTTGGTTAAACAGGTCCTGACATGGTGTACAGAAGGCACTAAGTAGCTCATTCTGGAGACCGTAACCTGGAGTCTCACGTCCTGGTATTTGCAAAACGATGGGTTTTATTTTGCCATTCACATTGGGGGTACAGACAAGGTCAGGTCCATACTTTCTTGCCCTCCCACACAGAGAATTTCTTCTGATGCCTTGTTTGGTGTAAGCGCCTGTGCTTACTTAGCAGGCCACCTGTTTTGACCATGACGAATGAAAGCACACTTGGGTTGGAAGAGTCGCAGCAAGATTGAGGATGTGTCATTTTTATTGAGAACAATCAGATTTTTTATACCTTTATCATAAATAGAATATAAAGGAAATTGACACAAACGATACAGTTGGGTTGCCAGGCTCTAGTAGTTTGCAAACTAGACAGAGTACACAAGATTAATAATGAAGAACAACTGTCCTGTCAAGTCTTCATGCTTCCTTGACTACAAAAGGAGCATACAGAGAAACACAAAGTGGCCTGAACGCTTCGCTGCCTAAGAGATGGCATTGGTCTGTCAGGAACTGAAAGTCACAGTGTGCCCCAGGAGCCATGGACTCTAGCCTGAAGAACATATGATACATAGCTCTGAAGAAAGGTAGGCCAAGCCAACTGTATGGTTCCTTGCAGTTTGTAAAAAGACTGACACAGGGATCAGGATCTTCCATACAAACATCTCACCTTCTTCAGAAAATATGACACAGAAGTTAAGACTATAACATGTAATGTTGAATTTGATATTTTAAAAATATATTAATAAGAGTCACAGGGAATGCATATTAATATTACATTTCTTAGTAATCCTTGATCATTATCTTGCAAGAGATGATATTTACAATTCACACATGAAAGTTACCATTATTTACGAGTATTGATTAAACATGGACTTTCATACATTCAAATGGTTCAAGATTTAGAAAGACAATGAGCAACATGCTTTAGCTGTCTCATGCTCTGATTTAGCAGTGAATATTATCATCCTTATTCCAATAAAAAATATGTTATGACACCAAACTTTCCTCAGGGCATTCTTCATCTCCATGTTTCTCAGTGTGTAGATCAGAGGGTTGAACATGGGAGCTATGATTGTGTAGAAAAGAGCAAACACTTTATCTTCTGGATAAGAGGCAGCTGGTCTAATATAAATGAAAAGTACAGGCACAAAAAACAAAATGACAACAGTGACATGGGAACTGCATGTAGAAAGAGCTTTCCCACGGCTCTCTGCAGGGTAAGCCCTGATGGTGTATAATATGAAAGAGTAAGACCACATCAAGACCATGAAGGTCACTAGTCCCATCATGCCTGAATTTGCAACCACGAGAAATCCGACTGTGTATGTATTGGTACAGGCAAGTGACAGCAAAGGATAAACATCACAGAAATAGTGATCCATCTCATTGGGGCCACAGAAGGGAAGACTCGTAACAAGGAAGCTCTGGAGAAAAGAATGGATGAAAGCACCAACACAGCAAGCAGCCACCATGGCATGGCACCTCCCCCTGTTCATGATGATGGTGTAGTGCAGGGGCTTGCAGATGGCCACATAGCGGTCATAGGCCATCACTGTGAGGATGAGGATCTCAGTTCCTCCAAAGAAGTGCATGGTGAAGAGCTGAGCCATGCAGCTGGCATAAGAAATCATGTTTCTTTTCATGAGAAAGCCAGTGAGAAGCTTGGGAGTCACTGTGGAGGTGTAGCACAGGTCTGACAAAGCAAGGCAATTAAGGAAGAAATACATGGGTTGTTCATTTAGTCGACTAAGTGTTATAGAAATCATTATGAACAGGTTTCCTCCCAAAATAGCTGTGTAGCAAAACAAGAACAGCAGAAAACATAGAATTTTAATTTTCTTGTTCTGGGAAAGTCCTAGCAGTATAAATTCAGTGATGTTATTGGTACTTTCCATATTCCAAAATAATTAAGATTAAATAGAGTTAGCTGAAAGCAAATGACAGATGATTAAAAATATTTATTAATCATGGTATAAGTCATAGCAAATACTATAAAAATTATATTCATTTACAAAATCTCTCATATTTCTCTCTCTGTACATATGTGTGTATTTGTAATTCTCATATTCTATAGAAAAAATTTTCATTTAAAAATCATCATTTCAAACACATTATTTTAGTAAAAGTGTGTAAAAGTAAAAGTCATACTAGTGGAAAGTTTAAACAAAAATATGCTGTTATTCTTTATAGCATATAAAAACGTGAATTTAGGGGCAAGAGCTCTTTATCACAGTGTAATTTGCCCAATTGGTAGCTTAGCATTGACAGATAAAGTGGAAAAAGTATACATTTGTTTTAGAATTAATATTTTGCTATATTTATAGAACATGTATTGTGTTTATTAAATTGTTTTCATGAAATGCATTACAAGTATAAAATCCATTCCCTACATGGGCTCAAAAGTTTCATGTACTTATGAATACCATAAGAAGCAGGGTAGAGAACATCATAGCATGTGAGGCTTACCAGTTCTGCTGTTATTAATTTCATAGCTCAAAAACAATAATCATTAAACTATAATGTGACAAATAAGTGTTGCCACAAGACACAGAAATACCAGTATCCAAATCCATGATTAGAACAAACAAAAAACAGAAATTTAATAATGTTTAAATAAATGAATGTTCAGAATTTCAAAATTTTGAGTTTATAGAAATGACTTCATAATAATAAATATAACCCTGGATTTTGTTACACTAGTCTGCAAATCATATAGGAGGACCCTAGCCTCTGTCTCCATTTTGTTTAAATTCTAATACCCTAGTTCTTTCAATTGCACTCAACCGCAAAACCCATTATTTTCTCTTCTATCCTTAAGACGTTTACCTAGCCTCTGTCACATTGTCCTATCTGTATATCCTCCAATCCCTCTATGATTTCACCAATACTGTCATTAACATGTAATGTCAGTGTTCATTCTTCTGTGATTCTTCAAGGCAGTTCTTCATACAGGAAACTACAATGCCTTACATTCTTGCTGCCCTTCATAATTTGCTGCTATGGTAGATGTATCTATCTCATTGCACATGTTTGATATTCAGATGCAAGAACAGGCCATATCTTCACAGACAAGAATATCATTAACCTCCCTCATGGTCACCCAGTCTTCTTTAGTATAATTTCCATTAGCTAGTATTCAGTTGAGAAGAAGTACTAGTAGTTATTGTTTCCTATTCAGCTACAAATATACATTGCTTGTGCACAGATACTAACAAAAACTACTCTGAAAAGTTAATATTAAGATGAGTGATATCATTATTTAGATAAAACAGCTGATCATACCGACATGAAAAATGGTAAAAACTAATATGTGTTTACTTTTTGCCTTTCTGTCAGAATACAATCTCAAGTATTTTATGTGTAATATATCATTCATATTACAAGAGCCTGAGAAATCTCTCTACTTTTCAAAAAAATTATAATATTGATAATGCAGAACATACTTATTGAAGACTATTTGTAGAATAGTCTTTAACATGTTTATTGATATCTGAATACTGAAAACCTGCTCCTGCTTTACATATTTAAACTTTTAACTTTTATATTGTTTCTTTCACCTATTGGTTTACTTATTTATTTTTATAATTACTTTTATCACAACTCAGAAAGTCAAGGTTACTAATCCTCTGTGTCAGAGCATCTCACAACCCTCATGAGAGAAGCTTTTCCTTACAGTAGGTGGGAATAAATACAGAGACATACACTGGTAATGTTGAGGTAGCAAAATACTTCAGACTGCTGAACCTTAAAATAGCCATTCAGATCTCACCCTAATGATCAGTGATCTTTGCCAATAACCAGCAGAAAGGCTGGAAGAACCAGAGACAATAGCTAATATCAAAAAAAGCAGTGGATTCCAGATACAACATGACAGAGACACATATGAACTCATAGTGATCGTGACAGCATGCATGACTTGCAAAAGTTCTGACTAGACAAAATCCTAGCATGGAAAATGGAGAGTGGATGCAAACTCCAACCACTAGCTGAGGAGCTATTAACATTTGATGGCTTCTAGGACAGGGAAAGTCAGATGTTTTGTTTTAGTGATGTCACCACTTACAGTTTAACCATTCACCAGAGAAGACTCAAAGTCAAGACTATCTAAGAAAAACACAAATTCCATTGCATACAGAAATAAGAGAAAAAAATTGAGAACCTATCTCAAAGTTGGGTGGAACAAGATTGGAGGGTTGAGAAGGTGGCCAGTGGAGGAGTTGAGGGAGAAAATATCAGACAACATTGTCTGACATTCTCAAACAATTAATAAAAATAATTTATAGAGTCAAGGTAAATTGAAATTTTATCTCAAAAGCTTTGGATTATTCTCTTACAGATAATTCTGAGTCTTCATTAATTTAATAATATTTTAGTTTTCACTCTTTTCTTCTTTCTCTCCTCCTCTTCCTCCTCCTCCTTCTTCTACTTCTTCTTGTTCTTGTTTTTGGGGGGAGGGTGCTTCAAGATACAAGGTTTTCTGTATAGCCCTTGATGGCCTAGAACGCAAATTGTAGATCAGGCTTGCCTGAAATGCAGAGATCTGCCTTTGTTTCCCAAGTTCCGGGATTAAAGACATTCTCTGCCACCACCCAGTTTCACACTGTTATTCTGTTGATCAATTGTGCTCCTCATTAATATTCACATTCCTCTGTATGAAATTCTATAATTTTTATGATATTTTCCAATTTCCTTTCACCATCATCTATGTATTTATCCCATATGGAAAGGCAGAAGAGAAAAAAATAAATTCCTGTTCGAACAGATTCCATTACATTCTATACATTTTTCTTATATCTCTTTATTCTTCCGTATAAATTAACAGTTTGTTTATCTAATATCTTCTTTTCATTTGAAAATATATTCATTTGAAAATTATTAAGCAAAATGTTTCCAAAAATATGGAAGGAAGAGGAAGATAAATTTATAAAATGGGTGTGCATACACTTACACGATTCAAACTGTACACGTGTGGGTCATTCTATTACTTCTTTTTGATGTAGCTTTTACTTACAACTGGATGATTATAATGTTACTTACCTGTTAATTCATCTATCCATAAGTTTCCTGGCTCTAGGATATTCCTGCTCCTTTCTGAGAGAAAATATACTCTCCTGAAAAAATCATCATTGGAATTATGGGGAAGATTTTTCCTGTTTCTGTTCTCAAGATGTTTGTCCATTGCGGTTTTAGAGGTGGTACATATAGGTAAAATTCTCTGGTTAAATTCCAAGATATGTCAAGTATATTACCTGGGAGAGTAGATCTCAAGGCATCCTCTTACTTTTTCTGAGGCATGAGGCATATCCCAAAAGAACATTGGGCTAATGTTCAACTTTAAATTATTTAATTCCTCTCGAAATTTCAAAAGTAGTTCTTCCAAAGGTTAATAATGAGTCACACTCCGAAGTGTCTGCATATAATCATAGGACTGCCAAACACTCAATACTAGTAAGCCTCAAATCTGTGCTCTGTGTTGACATAAATTCTGAAGACATACAAAAGCCTACTGAATGCCAAATGACATGAAATAAAAAGTTATGATACAGGGAAACAGGAACAAAGTCTATGAATTTGGTTTGCACAAATACAAGAACAGTTGTTCAATGGGCAAGAGGAATATTTACATTGCAATACTTCAAATATCAAGGATCTCCTGCCTTTATCCAAGTTGCTGGGGAAACGCATATTATCAGGTTTAACAACCAGGGCCTGGGACCTTATTCTCAGTAGTGGACCAGGAGCTAGATCAGGCCCCCATGTGTCATGTCACAGGAGCTGACTTGGAACATGGGATAATTGGGTAATCTGCTCTGTATAAAGGTTGGTTTCTCACACAGGAAAACTAGCCGGAAAGCTAAGGATAACTTTGTGGTTAAGATAATCTGGAGCCTTGATTTAAGGGGCTAGCATGGCCCTGTGGAAGTAAGTAACACAGAATGCTAAGGGTTAGCCTAAGTCTGTGAAGCTAGTATGCTACTTTTTATGGCCTGGAGAACACTTACGTCTTTTTCTGTATAATTTCTTCCATGCTCAGCTGCCCAGAGCATGTATATAAGTGTGTGCGTGTGTGTGTGCAGTACAGAACCTTTAGTACCTGCTATGTTATTATTAGGTTTGGGTGTTTGGGTGTAACCACAATAATCATATGAGGCCATGGGCTTGAAAAGGAGTATGGGGCAAAGCCTGGAGAAGGAAGAGGGAGGATTTAAAATATTGGAAATAGAGTTTTCATGTATAGAACTATCAAAATACTTTTAAAGATAAATAATAAATGACAAAACTGTAAAGAAAGTCATGGGGAATATGTATTTCAATATTAAATTCAATGGTTAATCTTTACACATTATCCTATATATGCTGACATTTACAATCTGTACATGATAATTATCATTGCTTTTTGTTATTGAAGAAATATGGAAATTAATGCTTATTTTTCATTTTATTATTTCTCAATACCTGTGCTATCGTTAAACAAATTTACCTCCTATAGATATTTTAGATAATTATCCTCAATATCAGTGTTCTAAAATGACCCAAAAATTTGATCTCTTAGCTGTTTTCCCATTCACAGAAGGCAGATTCACATTAGCTCAGAACAGTGTTTTATTCAAATAGCAAACTGTTTAACCATAGTCCAGAGATCCAAACATTTAGTCACTTACAGCCTGACTTTATGTAGTTTGATAAACTATATTGCCACTAATGGGAAACAGATCTGGTGTCTTTGAAGCCCACGAGTCATCACTGCATTACATGGCTCCCTGAACTTTATCTATCACACTTTGTTGCTAGGTGACATCACCTAGACCTGTGAGCTGCTACTCTGATCCATCACTCTCCTGTTCTGCTGATTCTGACCTCTGTTTTTGCTGGTGCTTCTGTAGAAACTTGTGTGTAGTTTAATGCTATAAGGATATTTCTCTTCTCTGCATACATTCAAGGACGATTCTTTTAGTAGTACTTCTATCTCACCATGGTTATACATTACATTATTTCAAACAATAGTTAAATTATTGAAACTCTTCACAGCCAATTCCTGTTTTATTTATTCATGAAAACATGCCTAAAGCATGTTTGGTATTTCTCTTTTATTGCATAATATGCTCAGGAATTTGATTAGAGTTGGAATGGAATCTGTAAACCAATTGGAAAGGAAGTTACTTTTCTATAATACAAATTTCTCATTTTTCCATGTTTCCTGTAATGTCTTCCAAAAAATGTACAAATTTTCTATCATTTATGACATTTACTTGTAAGCTTATGATATCTTCTCCAATTATAATCTATCATCATTAGAAGTTTTATTTTCTGATGGTTAAATTTTTCTGGTTAATTTTTTTCATATGAAAATTAACTGGCGTAAGCATCTCTCTGTCATTCTTAATTCCTAAGAATTTTGATCCTTTAAAAATGCAGATGTTTCTATATTATTTACTTAGATTAATAAATGTTACTACGTTTACTTGAAATTTACATATTTTTTAATTTCAATTAGTATTGCATTTTAAATGTCTGATAAAATTCCTCCCATTGGTTTTCTGTTCTTTTATAGAAAATTCTGAATACAATTAATTAATTGTATTTGTATTCTTAAATGTCTATATATTCATATCTTTTACATAACATTGTTTCAAAGTGCTCATTATTTAATAATTTACAAGTTTTATAAAACCTAAGAAGTTCTCAAATTATATAATACCAAATATTTTAGTATAAATTTCTTGTATGATAAATCATATCTACATAGAATGTCCAGCATGTTGTAGTCTTTATTGACAATACTGACCACTTTTGTTGCAGTTTCAGAATTCTAGAAATCATCCAGAATATAAGGGGCAGAATTTGTTCTTGCAGAAGCAGTCATTCTGGACGTAGAAATACTTTTCCTCCCAACAATGTTTATATTACTAGTACAATGCATGAAACTTAAGGAACATCTTATTCATCATCATTATCTTATGAAGTATTAAGTTTGGTTATTCTCTATCACAGTGAAGGTCATTTGAAAGCAGATACATATTCCAATCACTCTCTCATACTATTATGTATAGCAATACCTATTTGAAGATAGAACTACAAAGAGATAACTAATTAAAAATGCAACTATGTAGGTTAAACCCAGTACAACATGGCTGAGTATACTATATCAAAGGAAATTTTGAACACAAAAAGCCCTGGGAATGTTTTCAGAAAAAATGGCAATATCAACACACGTTGAGAAGGAACCCCTCTGTAAGCAAAGGAAAATAGTTCTAGAGAAATCTTGACCTTTAACTTTCAGAAATGATAGGGAAAAGAAAAGAGAAGAGAAAATAAAAACACATTACCACTTTTATTTAGGTCAACCATTTCACAATAGGTTTCAAACTTGACCCCAGAAGACTAACATGAACCATGACTTTGATTTTTTTCAACATGAAACTATAATGGCTTAGTGAAAATTCAATGCACAAAATCAGAGATGATATTTATGGATAACCAGAGTTGTATAATTAATAAACATTCACCAATACATTATAATGTTTCTTTATTTGTCTATATAGTTATATAAATAAAAAGCTGTTTATGTCATTATTACATGAAAACATATTTACAGAATCTTTGATTCCTGACATTTTATTCATAGTCCTTTCATGCAATGTCTTTATCTATAAAATTTATGCTTTTATAGGAGAATATAATATCTATGTTGTTGAAGTAATATAATTTCCTGGACATGTTGGGGCCCTGTGACTCTATTAAAGAAAACAAATGAAGCAGCAGTTGTAGTAATTAGTGTTCTAGACTGTGATTGTGGATACATAATGGCAATGAGGAAGACCAATATACAGAATAAACAAAACCTTGCAAGTTATCTTTTTTAAGCTAGTCAGTATATGATGGCTGAGAGAATAAAGCCGCAGGGAAATGACAGGCCATAGAAGAATAAGAATTCATAAAATCAACATATGGTTTACATAGACATGAACCGAAACAAGGACAGGAACAAGATGGTTGTAGAAAGGTTCAATATTCACATGTACTCATTTTTCATGTCTTACATGGAACATTCTTCTTTTACAAAGATATTTGATGATACCATATTTTCTTTATGGCATTCTTCATGTCGGCGTTTCTCAGTGTATAGATCAGAGGGTTGAACATAGGAGCTATGATAGTGTAGAAAAGAGCAAACACTTTGTCTTCTGGGAATGTTGTATTTTGTCTGATGTAAATGAAGAGTACAGGTACAAAAAACAAGACCATAATGGTTATATGGGAACTACACGTAGAAAGAGCTTTGGAACGGCTTTCTGCAGGGTAAACTCTAATGGTGTGTAATATCAGACAATAAGAGATCATTAAAATTACAAATGTTACCAAAGCAATTAGTCCAGAATCAACAATGACAAAGAGACCAATTCTATGTGTTTCAGTGCAAGCCAATTTCAGTAAAGGGTACACATCACAAAAATAGTGATCTATCTCATTGTTATCACAAAAGGACAAAAAGGTAATGAGAAGGGACTGACTAGCTGAGTGCAGAAATCCTCCAGTGCAACAAACTGCAAGGATTTCATTGCATCTCTGTTTGCTCATAATGATAGTGTAGTGCAGAGGTCTACAGATAGCCACATAGCGATCATAGGCCATTGCTGTGAGAATGAAGATCTCAATGGCTCCAAGAAAATGAAGAACAAAGAGCTGTACCATGCAGTTATTATAAGAAATGATCTTCCTCTCTGCCAGTAAATCAGTCAAGAGTTTGGGTGTCACTGTGGATGTGTAACAAAGATCAGAAAGTGACAAGTAATTGAGGAAGAAATACATAGGTTGGTTAATAAGCTGAGTGAATGTGATAGAGATTATTACAAGTACATTGCCCATCCAAATAGCCATGTAGCAGACTAGAAATATTACAAAGCAAAGTACTTCAATGTTTTGGTTTGCAGAAAGCCCCAAGAGAACAAACACAGTAACATTTCCCATAGTTCAGCGGAATAGAAATACATGGCAGGTCCCTGAAAAGACACATGCATTAATGAATGTCAGCAATATAGAGATCATTGGTGATTAACACTGATATGTATTTGAGGGACTTCTTCACAGATTTTACATCAGTTTTGACATTAATAAAGTTGAATTCAGTTGATTGAACAATGAAAGAGTGGTTTAGAATGAGAACTACTTGCTAAAAGCTTTCAATATACAACTAAGTCCTTGAAAAAGATGAATTTGAGGGCCTTACACACTCATGTATTGTTAAAGATAAAAATATAAAACAAAGCACACAAAATGTATAAACTTAAACAATAGCTCTTGTTTTGACCTACAGAATATACTATATTTTAAATTCATGTATACATATAGAAAATAAAAAAAAGCTGAACATATTTTATATGCATAGATGTGTGTATGTGTGTGTGTGTGCATGCATGTGTGTGTCTGTGTGTGTATGCATGCATGTGGTAGAAAACATGTGCCCCAAATAACTGGCTCAGAAAATTGATTTGGATAATTGGTCAGGGGTCTGTAGACATAGTTCATTGGTTAGAGTGAGTGTGGCTCTTGTAGAGGATCTGAGTCCAGATCTTAGCACCCATATGAGGTGGCTCATGAACACACCTGCTCCAGAATTCTTAGGCCCACATAAACACACACAGGCCTACACACTACAAATAAATCACACCTTAAAACAATAATCATAAGCCAGGCTTTGGTGACGCACACCTGTAATCCCAGCATTCGGGAGGCAGAGGCAGGAGGATCTCTGTGAATTCGAGACCAGGCTGGTCTACTGAGCAAGTTCCAGGACAGGCTCCAAAACAATACAGAGAAACCCTGTCTCTAAAAACCAAAAAAAACCCAATAATCATAATTCCCTCTCATTTCCCTATTATTTTATGTGATTTAGTACCACATGGTTAATATTTTGTAATCCAAGAATATTTAAGTCTGTATGTGTTCCATTAAAAATATAACACTGAAATAACAATGCAACATGGAAGTTACATGAACTAAAAACCTAGTGGAAAACAAATTCATTTATACAATTTTGCTTTTTAAAAGTTTTATATCAAAATATAAATGCATCATTTACACCCTTTGGTTTTTCCCTCCAACACATGCCAAACCCTACTCCTTACTTCTCTCATAATACCACAGAAGTATGGCTTCCAAAACTTGGTCTGAAAAAGTACAGTAGACTTGCTAAAAGTGAAGGGGGAATTTCCTCCACAAACACATTCAAAGAACTACAGGAAACCAAGAAATGCAAAGAGTGAAAGAAATGCTCTCCTCATGGATGAGATCCCTAATTGGTCAGCCCTGAAATCATGTACATATACAAATAACACAGGTTTTATCTATATATTTGCATATTATATAATACTTATATAGTTAAATGATATAAATAACAACATATATTCCCTCTTATATACAGTAAATGAAGCCCCCATTCCTAATTTGTATTTTATCCAATTTATGCCATTTGTCAAAACCTATAAAAAATCTTGATATTGTACAGTTCAGAGAACAAGGTATGTAAAATTGCCTGTATTGGCTTATATCTGAATGCTAGTAGTCACTCTTTTCCTGTTAATCAAGTTTATCATGACTATAAGTTTTGGCAATGACTAGAAATAGTCATTCAATGGGTATGAATGACAAATAAATTAGTAAATAGCCAGTGACTTCTTAGCCAGATATTGTTAAGATTTTACTTTTAACTTAAACTCCAGTGGCACATAATTCAGTAAATCTGACTTTTAAGAAATGGCCATTCTCATGTCACAAGATAACTAAGAAAGGTGGGAACTGATTCCCTAGTTAAATTTTTATATTAAAACAAAATGATTTTATTGATGGTCTCAGAAAGAATAAAGTAATTTCAATTTATTCATCAAATATAAAATGACAACCAAACAAGATTTCATTGCTAGCACTTCTAATTTAGTACTATTCAAAATATTTTAGGAAGAATAACAGAATAGTTAACCATTAATTCACTTGCTTTATAATAAATTTGACTCTCAATAAGAGTATAATTGTGCTCTTTACAGTAAGCATCTTTTGTATAATCTAATAATTTTAGTATCATTTCTCATCTACTCATTTGTTTGTCAAATTGCCTTGCTATCTTTTATTGTCAACTAAGTTAACCCTGTTAACTCCTACAATAAAAATGAAAACATTGTCAATTTAACTACTGCTGAGAAACAATTTGTTTCCATAATGTGATTTCAAGATTTATAATTACCTTACATCCAAACCACTAAATTCCATTATTTAAAAATATAGTAAATTTTAAACATATGAAAGTGAATCAATTAGGGCTTACTATAGTTTTAGTGTGATAAAATATCTGACCTTCTTAAACTATTTTCATGAAGCATCAGTAGGTATAACACTCACCTTAGCATTCAATCCTTCCCATACCTCATGTTCCTAATCTCCCTAACATAATAATATTTTAAATGCAATAACACTAAAAAGTATTTGCAAAATATTTACCAAAGTGGATACTAAGTTATGAATATCATACTAATTAACTATGGTCTTAATTTTTAAAATAATAGAGTGACATTTAAAGCAATGCAAATAAAGCGTCTAGGTACCTATGGTATAATAAACCTATTTCTACTACTACTTAAAGCAGGGGTTTAATGCCCCAAATATTTCAATGTAGGTCTTTGACGCTGAAAGTTCAATCTATATTTGATTTTTATGAATTTAACCCCACAAAAGAGAGGCATGCCTTGCATGCTTCCAACAAACACTAAGAAAATATATATATTTCATTATGAATCTCAGACACCTCTCATGGTTAAGTATGATTTTTGTCATGTAATTATTTTCTTCCATTGATAGTAATACTGGTAAGTACAATTACAATCACGATTTTTTAGCACTGGCTAGTTTGAAATAATTAACTCTCAATGTTAGATGAGTTCATGAGAGAGTAACTCAGTCCAGTAAGAATACTTGTTATATTCTCTCCTGTCTTCTTGTTTTTCTTCTAGTACAGGGTAAGTATACATCCTTAAATTTGGTTGAATTATGGAAATGAATCACTTCAGATATGTAACCAGTGTGAAAATAATTATTCAATAATTCCATAATCATCCGCACATTCTACATCAAACAAGGCAACTAAAAACAGTCAATTTTAGAGTTACTTGCATGTGGCTAATTAGGTTGACTAAAATTAATTCTCTTTTTATGTGAGTTTGAATTTTTTGTTTGTTGTTTTTCTCTTTCTTTGCTTTTGAGAAGTAGGGAAAGAACAAGTGATTCTTGCCAGAATCTATTTCATGTTTCAATATGTGCTTCTGAATTTCTTGATAGATTGCTTAATTTATTGATGGTATGCTTAATCAATACTCTGTTGAACTACTAGACATTCTAGTGATATTTTTCTTGATATGAAATTTTATACCTAGGTAGGCATCATTTCTCTGTTGTGTGCAACCATGTCTATGAAATGTCTCATTATGGGAAACATTTTGAATTTATCTCAAAGTAAGTTCCCTCTCCAAATCAAAGCAGATAACTCTATTTAAGTTTTACTTTCATCAGTTTCTACACAGTGGAGGCAAAAAGTAGATACTCTTATAATCTTCCTATATTTATCTCTCTCTCAAATAGTTTAGTAGCTGCTGATAGGAAACTATCTTGCATCTTTTTAAGACAATTGACACCTGTAACTCAGCAAATGTTCACACAAAATAGGGGTCATGTTCTTAAAAGAAACGATTTCAGGACAAGTGGAGTGAGTTACAAATCCAAATTAGTCAAATCACAATATCTATTTCTATCACTAAAATTACTTAAGGAGAAAACCAGACTCACAAAACCACTGGATACTTTGTAGATTAACAAACATTCTAAAAAAAGCTATTTGTCTTTAATTCTATATATTGGTTTTTCCTTTCATAAGCCCCTGGTTTTTCCTGACAACATTATAAACTTACCAGATTAATTTCCTCTAGAGACAAGTTATCAGACAAGCTGAAGCTAGCACTGGATGTGGGCTTTAAATAGTCATACAGCCACACATGACATTGTGAATCCCCTGGACATCACTGATTGGATCCTCTCATAACTTACCAAGGTTTTGTGGTGAAAAACATTTAAATTTGGATTTTTTGAAAGGCATATCAACTTAACATTCTCTACAGTTCTCCAAAGGAAGAAAATACCTTTGCTTCTATGTCAATGGCATTATTTTCCTGGTTGATAGTAGAATTTTCGAAGAAAAAATATCTAGTGTCCATTATTATTGCTTCAATGGTTTAGAAAATTTATAGTTAATGAATTTTTGAAAATATGCTTCCAGTTTATAGACATTTATGTATCATTTTCCACATATGTCTCATTCATCACTTAGAAGTGTAGTTAATGGACTATTTTCTTAAAAATAAGTTTTAATTGAAATGGAATTGTACCCTTTCCACCCTCACTTTCATCCCTTCTGCCCCTCCCAGGTAGCCTCCCTCACATCCCTCATTGTCTCACTCAATGTCAAGCTGACAGCTTCTTTTCCTTTATTATTCTCTCACACACACACACACACACACACACACACACAAACAAACACACACTAATGCACACATATGTGTATGCACAAGCTTTTGTTTATTTACCCCTTCCAAATTCTCATTTACCATATAACATTAATCATTATGATTTAGAATAAAGTTATGATAATTTAAAATATATAAAGGATTCCAATATACTTAATCATGGTGGAACATATCTCTTGTGTGGGATGGTTGGGAGTTCAAGTCTAACCTAAGCTACAGGTACCTGTGTTAAAACATAGGGAAGAAGGAATGTTGATGTAGAAGCATGGCAAATTCCAACATTACCTTTTACAATTATAAGTATATCAAGTGTAGTACTTCCACAAACATACACTGACAATGCATCAGGGAAGGGCTTTAAATGGAAAAAAAGTGTGACAGTGACAGAATGAAATCTTCTGAGTTATAAGTAGTCCATTAATACTTTTAAAGGTACATGATACAAGTACTAAAATCCAAGACTGTCCTCTTCCAAATCGTCAAAATTATTTCAAAAAGCTAATATTCTAAACTACTTGGAATTTACCACCATGACATTATCTGTCTCTTATTATGAAGTAAAACCAATAAAGGAGACTAAGTCACTCTCCAGGAAAGACACAAGGAGGGGGAAAGAGCATTTAAAATTTGTTACTTAAAATTCCAGAAACAGTAAAAATTAAGTTTGGAAGATTCTGATAAGTAAGAAGAGGGATATTGAAAAAATTATAGAAATCTAGAAAGAATACATTTCTATAGGGTTAAGGAGAGGGATTGTGTGCCATAGAGAGAAGGAATGAATATTTTCCTTATCCAATTATTAATCAGGGTATATTTCATGAGAAAAGAATCACTTCTCAATAAAAGGGAAAAATAAAAATAAATAATTAATGAATTAATGAGTAATTAAGAAAATAAATTTTTGTTTTGTAAAAATTTTTAAATGTGTTAATAAAAATAATAGGTAGAGACTGAAGGAGATGATTTTTTGTTAAAGCTTTTTTTGTAGATAAAAATTTTATTTATAATAAGTATATAAATGAATCTATTGCTATATAAATGTACCTGAAATTCATTACATAGAATATAATTATGTAATACTCACAGTAATGACATTGACAGTCTTAATTCCTGCCCTAGTTTTGATTGGTATACATACATAAAACCTGAAGTGTCATATCCATTATATTGTCCACACTGAAACCTACGCTATGATTGTGGCTAAAGCAAATGGAATAAAAGAATGGATGATGGAGATACGGAAATATAGGGAAAGAAAGTTCCTAAGGTTACTTCCCCATGGTCCCATGTCTACACATCATTTTATTAGGTAGCTTTGAGCATCCTGAGGTACATCTCCAACATGTTCAAGACCCTGACGATTGAAACAAATAATCCTTGGACTGTTTTGTGAGAAATGTGAATGGAAAAGTTACTACATTTGTGAGAATATGAATTAAAATTGATAATGAAGTGAATGTACATAGGCTGGGAATAGCTGACTCTAAGGGATGGTGACTTAGGTAATATTGATAAATTTAAGAGTTAACATATAAGTAGCTAAATTGTATCTTTGTGTTAGCTCCACTAATGAAAATTAATTCTAATTAATGGAATCTGCACGGTTATATGATGTAGTAGGTTCATCCTATGACAATAGGAATTATGGAATACTCTGAAAATGGATGAAAAATATTATCAACCATGAAATATGTGTGTTGCTTCATGTTTCTGTGTGAGTAAGTAGTTTCCACTAAAACTGAGGAAAAGAAATTTAAGGGAAAAGGAGAAAGATTGAACCCAGGAAAGGATACACATATAAGAAAACAGAAAGACAAATGAAGAGGAGGAAATCAGCTATAAAAGAAGAAGGAATTTGGAACAAATGAGGGCGATGAAACAGACAGAAAGTTTAAAAGAAAAGAACCAGTTACTGCTATTTTTATGCTAAGGGAACATAGCATTTTTCCCAGTGAAAAATTTCTATATTGATAAGTCAATGTATCACCCAGCCAGTCCATCATCAGGGAAACCTCCTCATATACTAGATGGCAATGAATACAGGGACCCATAACTGGACAACATGCTGATAATGAGAGACTTTTGAACTCTCAGACTAAAATGAGATATCTTTATCAAAACATTCCTCTCAAGGCTCAGGGTCTGTGCTGAAGAGGAATCAAAAAGTTTAAGAGCCAGAGGAGCTAAATTATGCTAAGGAAGAGCATCCTTCAGTTAGAAAAGTACTGATACACAGCTCACAGAAACTATGACAGCAATTCAAGACCTGTACAAGTTCACTCCAAACAAAATTCCATGACAGCAAAGGGTAAGTGGACACCAAATCTCCCCTAACAAAGAGGCTAGTCCAATTGATACCTGCTGGAAAAAATCTCGTTTCTGTTTTTCTCCGAAGTAGTGTCAACCGCACTCCAGAGAAGGCTCAGTTCCCAGTAGTCAGCCAACTCAAAACGGATTCCATGTTTTTTTTTCTTTTAAAAGTTGTTTTTTTTTTTTGGTTTTTCGAGACAGGGTTTCTCTGTATTGTTTGGGAGGCTGTTGGTCCAGCCTCTGCCGCCCGAGTGCTGGGATTAAAGGCGTGCACCACCACCGCCCGGCTTCTTTTAAAAGTTTTTGTTTTGTTTTGGTACCTTTGTCTTGCTTTTGTTTGTTTGTTTGTTTTACCTTCATTTGTGTTTTTATGGAGAGAGAAAAAGACAGAAAGAGAGAGAGAGAGAGAGAGAGAGAGAGAGAGAGAGAGAGAGAGAGAGAGAGAGAGAGAGAGAGAGAGAGAGAGTGTGCAGGAGGCAGAGGAGGGTAGTTCTGTAAGGAGTTAGAGATAGGAAAGAAAATGATCAAAATACATTGTAGGAAAAAAAACAGAAAAGGTTTAAGAGGTCAGCAAAAGTACAGTGAGGGAGAGGAGGAACCAAAATACAACAATGTAAACCATTACTTCATATGTTAACAAATATATAAAAGAATCTAAAAGAAGAAAAATTCCTTAGCACTTTGCCATTTGATCAAGGTGAACTGAATCCTTTCTCATGTAAGGTTATTCTTCACAATTGTGTAATCTTAGAGCAGTCAAGCTAATTATGTTTTATAAGTAGAAGAGGACAATCATATTTGCTCATTCAGAATTTCTACAAGCTGAAATAGTTGAAGAAACAACCTCATAAATTCACCCTAAATCTGAAAACATCTCTAAAACCATTGTATGTGCCTAAGACTATGACTATCCCTAAAACTGTCATGTGCCTATGACATTTATATAGAGGGGAGACATACTAGCAGCTTGAACATGATTTATGCTGAACCTTTTGTGTCATAATCACTCAAATCTCTTTTTTCTTCACTTTTTCATAGAATGATAGAATGATTTCTTTAAATGTGTCACCACAAAGCTAGGCATTGGTAGCACACACTTTTAATCCCAACACTAGGGAGGCAGAGACATGTGGATCTCTGTGAATTTCAGGCCATCCTGGTCTACAGAGCAAGTTCCAAGATAGTCTTCAAAATTATACAGAGAAGCCTTGTCTAGAAAAACCAAAAAAATAAGTGTTACCATATTAGTGTTAGATCTTAGACCCACTGCCAGTGGGCTCAGTGGAGAGCATGCTACACGGAAAGATACCTTGCCCAACATATACACAGGGGTGTGGAGGTGGAGAGGTGCCTTGGTCACGTCTCAATGAGATGATGGGACAGAATTAGTAAACTTCTTAGGGAGGCCTTACCCTCTCTGAGGAGCAGATGGGAGGAGGCCAGTGTAGGGGAGCAGGAGAAGAGGGGAAGAACTGGAATTGTAACATAAAAAAATAAATTAACAAAAAAAAAGAAAATTAAAAAAGTGTCACCACATAAAAATTATTTACAAATCCTGACAGATTATGAAGTTAATCATTAAGCCAGCTTTTCTAAAGTCAGTTTCAATCTATTTCTAAATTGTGCAGAAAAAATGTTTATCATCAGGCAATATATCAAATTGAATAACTAGCAACATTTTCAATGAGCATGGAAATTGATCACACAATACAACACTCCTTCTTTAACCTAGAATAATTTGAATATGTATATTCTTACTAGGTTGCACAGTAAAATAGTTGTTAGTATTTATTCTTCATAGTCTCTGTTATTTATGAATGAGTAAAACTTTGAGCATCTTAAAAATGGATTGCCATTCTTGATGGCAAGGTTAGTTTAAAAGTTGTGCAGTGTTTTCTTTTAACATTCCATGAATAATACAAATTAATTGTGTTTCTCTCCTGACAATGGCTTTTGACACCAAACCATCTTCATGGCATTCTTCATCTCTGTATTTCTCAGGGTATAGATGAGGGGGTTGAACATGGGAGCAATGATGGTATAAAACAGGGCAAATATTTTGTCCTCAGGGAAAGTGGTAGGAGGTCTTAGGTAGGCAAAGATGGAAGGTCCAAAGAATAAAACAACCACAGTTATATGGGACCCACATGTAGAAAGAGCTTTGCGTCTTCCTACTGCTGAGTGATTCCTTAATGTGAACAATATAACCACATATGAACCAAACAAGACAACAAATATTACCAAGGCAACAACTCCTGAATTGGCAACCACGAGGACACCAGTGATGTAGGTGTCAGTACAGGCAATTTTAAGCAAAGGGAAAATGTCACAGTAGTAGTGGTCAATTTCAATCATGTCACAGAAGGGCAAACATATTAGCATAAAAACCTGAGAAAAGGAGTGGGCAGCTCCACCAACCCAGGAAGCCCAGATCAGAACATGGCACCTGGTTCTGCTCATGATAACCAAGTAGTGGAGAGGCCTGCAGATGGCCACATAGCGGTCAAAGGCCATGACTGTCAGGATTAAGATTTCAATCATTCCAAAGAAGTGCATTGCAAAGATCTGCAGCATGCAGTTTTCATAGGAGATGGTTTTTCTTCTAAGTAGCAGATCCCCAATCAGTTTGGGTGTCACACAGGAAGTATAGCAGATGTCCATGGAAGATAGGTGACTGAGGAAATAGTACATTGGTTGGTTGAACAGAGAACTGCACCTAACTGAGATAAGGATCAGAAGATTCCCACACAAGATGGCAAGGTAACAGAATGAGAAGAAGATGAAGCAAAACACTTGTATATTCTGCTTAGAAGACAGACCCATGAGAAAGAATTCTGATATGTTCCTCTGACATTCCATTTATTTTAGTTTGTACACGAATTATAGAGTATCTGTGGAAAGGATCAAGGGAAAAGAGTTCCCATGTGATCACAAATATGTCTGCATTACAAACAAGTGTTAGGTACTACTGCACAAAAACACAGCCTTAGTATTTGGAAATTGAGCTTTGTATTTCAAAAAGAACTTTGTAGTAGTCTGTTGTATTAGAAATATCCAGAAAATCTTTTATCTGTTAAAGTGTAAATTATAATTACTATTTTCCCCATAAAGGTAGAATGTGCTATTGCTGTGTAAAATTTTGAAACATGAATATAGTTTAACATAATGTACAGAATGCATCTTATTTTTTGGTTTCATTCGCATATTTTATTTGAAACAGTGAAGAATGCTAAGAATATTTTCTCTCTGCAACATGAATTAGAGTATCTGCCTGATGTGTTGTGCAGGAATATATATTAGTAAGTTTAAAATTTTTAAAATGTAAATTATATGGCTGAAGTGAAATATTCCATGAAATTTTGCAGGGAGATAGAGAGACAAGAATCACTTGTTGAAGTTAATATAATATACTATGTGGTTTAGGTTCTAAAGATAGTTAAAAAGGTAAAACATGATTAAATTTTCATTACTGTTATTTTGAAAAGAAAGAATATTTACTTGCACTTCTCCTGTACATTTTAGTGTAATATATTATCTTTAAACTCTAGTCATAAACAGTGAAGATAAAAGCACATTAGGAAGAATGACTAAAATTCACAAATAATTTGAAATCTATAGAATATATGCATAAACAACAAATTAAAGAAAAGATAGTATATAATCTAAGTGCAAATCTGAAAAAACTCAGCTTGTATATTTTTAGGACTTATTTGCTCATTGACATATATTATTCTATATTATCCAGCTATGGTTCATGTTAAAGAATGAGAAATGTAATAACCACACACTTTTCCTTCTGGCTCTACTGGCAAAAATTAAATAATATCCAGAAGGAATTTGCACATAAAAAACAAATCGATAATTTAGTAAAAATGCAGGACTCATTATTGCAAATTAGGCAGATAGTATTGGTCAATGGTTTCCATCTTTTATAAATTCACTAATAATGCTATTTGCAATTTTTTGAAGCTTAAAATTAGAATACTTTAAAAATCATTATGTAGTACACTGACCTAAAATTTCAATTTTAGCTGTTTTTTTTTACATTAACAATGGAAAGTCTGATATTTGTCATGGTCTGAAAATGTCTCCCTATCAATTTCTTGTCTTTCATTTATTCATAGAATTAACTAAAAATGCCTATACACAATACCACCAATGTGTTATATTTTTCAATGAATTGTATCAAATTTATAGTTGAAATTTATGCTTCATTTGCAGCAATAATGTATTCCAAAAGAAAAGCAAATACAATGTGTAACAATTGGAATAACTTTCAAATAAGAACAACAGCTTCCCAGTCCTTTCATGCCATTCTTGATGATAGCACCTGAATTAGTAACTTATGAATAGCAAAATAAATAGTGAGTAATATAATGACCATAGTATGAACATTACCTGTGCGTGAATTACTGATGTTCTTCAGGTTAGTTTTCTATTTCTCCTTATCACACATCTACCTTTCTCAGTAGCTCATTTTCCTGATCTTGCTTGACATGAACACCTGAAATAAAAAGGAAGACTAAACAATACAGAGAAACCCTGTCTCAAAAAAAAAACAAAAAAAGGAAGACTATAAAAGAGCTTGTGAAATGTAAATTTTCTAAAAATATCAAGATTGCATTTATCTTTGCCAAATGAAAAAATTCCACTGCTGTATAAGAAGAGTAAGATTTAAATAATTGTGGATTCATACTACTATATTTTTTCAGTCTATAAGAAAATGAGCCTACATTTTGAAAGCTGATTAATGTGAACTTTTTGAAAATACCATCCACATGTATTTAAAGCTATATATTCTCAGATAAATAGCTAGGCCTGTAAACATACAAGAGCCAAGTACAAATGAAATAAATAGTAGCATCTTTATATTTGAATGCAGGACTACTTCTACCCTCAGGAACCTTCTTTAAAGAATGTTTATATCACAGCACTCCTCAGTTGTCTACCTTCTTGGCCTTCTCTTTCAGGCCTCTTGTGAATTCTGAGGCTACAATTCTCTTTTCTCTTTTGTAGTAGCCACTCTCTGAGCACTGTGTCTCTAGGGTCAGTATTGTTAGGATCCAAAGAACATCAAGGACTTTTCACTCCTTTTAATAATTTCATTCTCTGAAGAACATGAACACTTGAGAATCACCAAAGAGGCATTGGAGATTCTGGAGAGGAGAAATAAAGAGAAGTGTGATTGCATGTGTCTGCCTCTGTGTGTGTGCCTCTGTGTGTGTGTGTTCCTGTGTGTGTACCAGAAAGAGAAAGAGAGAGAGAGAGAGAGAGAGAGAGAGAGAGAGAGAGAGAGAGAGAGAGAGAGTTCAAAATGCTATCATGAAATATCAGTGAGGGAAACATAGACACATGATAATCCCTTATTAATTTTGTAATTTGCTTCTGAATATATTTGACAAGCTGTCAAAAAACAGCAATGGACTATTCATTCTTCCTTCAATGAATTTTCTTGTTTTGTTCAGAGATAGGAAAAAATGCATGTTAAAATTAATATGTACTGTCACTCCCACTGATAACTTACACTATCCAAATTTATCTTTGAAAAGTAGTAAATGATAAAAGGATTCAAGAACTTCTGTATTTGTGTGTGTGTTTGTATAATGTTGTTGCAGTTTTAATAGTAAATGTTCACTATAGGCTCACTGTTGAAGGTATGTCCCCAGCCCAGTGGCACTATTTTTTCTAATTTTTATGGACTACTTGCTTTGCCATTATTTTTGCTCATATGCTCTGTTTTTTAAGAGGGAACATGAAGTTGGGTGGGTAAGCAAGTAGGGAATTTCTGAAAGGAGTTAAGGGAGTAAGAGAGTTAATGTATGAAAAATCAAGGTTAAATTTCATGTATACATATACATTGCAAATCTAATTGGTCTTAATAATAAAACCCACAGTCAGATATAGGCATAAATTCTGAAAGACCAGAGAAGCAGAGCAACCTGCTACTATTATTTACCTGTACTGAAGCCTCAGACTAATTCTGTCTCTAAGATTCCACAGACTGAAAGCAATGAGCTTCTATTTCCTCCAGTTTATGTTCCTCTCTCCTCCCAGAAATATTAGTCTTGTCTTCACCTCTCTAGTGCTGGGACTAAAGGCATGAAACTCCCAGTACTGGTATTAAAGTTGTAAGCTACCACTGCCTGTCTGTTTCTTTTATAGACTTGACCAATCTTGTGTAACACAAGGTGGACTTGAACTCACATAGATACTCCTGCCTCTGCCTCACAAATGCTAGTATTAAATGTGTGTGCTAGCACTGCCTTGCCTTTATGGATATGTAGTGGCTAGCTCTGCACTCTATTCTTCAGACAAGCTTTATTTGTTAAAGCACTATATATATATATATATATATATATATATATATATGTGTGTGTGTGTGTGTGTGTGTATGTATATGTATTAACTTTGCATGACAGCTGGAAACCGTATTAGTTTAGGGATAGTAGTAGGATTTCCTCTAACACTCTTCTTTCTTTCATAGATGAATGTTCACTCACATGAGTTCATCCACACAATTTAAGGCATGCATACACACTTATACACACTGCACACACCCCCATGAAAATGAAAAAATAACAATGTTGTTAGCATAAGATTAGTAAAAGATCTAACCATCCAAATGATTTATCTACAGATGTTTGAAATCTTAACATCAGTTTTTAAATTCATGAACCAATAACTGTTGAATCTTAATAGTAAATAAATCGGTAGGTATAGTTCCAGATTTCTGCACAGTCAACAGAAAAATCACAAAGAACATTAGCAAAGCAATCGATTTGTACATACCCACTACTTATTCTAGCTGTCTCAATAACTTTCAGTTGCAAGCAATGCCTGTTCCAAATGTTCTCACAGGATTTTCCACAAAGCAGCAAAGTGTAAATCATGAGACAAGCATCAATTGCTGTAAATTATTCTTTAACCAAAATGAAACTAACTAAAAATTTTACAGTAAAAGCTAGGAAATACTCAAATATCTAGAAACTATATAGTGTACTTCTTAACAATCCAAGTAGTCAATGTAAAGATTCAATGTAATTCTTATTAGAATTCCTAAATAATTCTTACCAAACCTTGAAAGAACAATTTGCAACTTCATATAAAGCAAAACAAAACAAGAGAAGAAAAACAAAACAAGATAGCTAAAACAAGCCTGAGCAATAAAAGAACTGTTAGAGATCTGTCTCATCATTGGTGATTTCTAGTTATACCATAGGACTGTAATAATAAAAACCAAATGATACTAGCATAAAAACTGGCATGATGATCAATAGAATTAGATTGAAATCAAAGACATAAATCCATGCACCTATGGACCTTTGATTCTTGATAAAGAATCCAGAAATGAATGATGAAAAAAAGGCAGCTCCAATGAATGGTCCTGTTCAAACTGGATGTCTGCATGTAGAAGAATACAAATAGATCCATAATTGTCACCCTCCAAAAAATTCAAGTCCAAGTGAATCAAAGATCTCAACATAAAACCAACACACTACACCTGATAGAAGAGAAAGTGGTAAATATACTCAATCTCATTGGCATATGAAAAAAACCTCTTGAACAGAACACCTATAATGCAGGCAACAATTAATAAATGGGGCCTCATGAAACAGAAAGGGCTCAGTAATGTAAAGGACACCATCATTTTCACAAAATGTCAGCCTACAGAGTAGGCAAAGTTTTTTTTCCAACTCCACATCTGATAGAGGACTAATATCTAAACTGTGTAAGGAACTCAAGAAGCTAGATGTATAAAAATCAATTAATAATGGACTATGGATATAAACAAATAATTATCTATAAAGGAAACTCAAATGGCTGTGAAAGTCTTAAAGAAGTTATATTCTTTTTTATGTGGATGAAATGTTTTATAGATATCTGTTAATCCCAGTTGGGTCATTACTTCTATTAGACCCTTTGTTTCTTTGTTGAGTTTCTGTCTGGTATTCCTGTCTAGCGGTGAGAGTGGTGTGTTGAAATCTCCCACTATAAGTGTGTGGG